GTGTTCAGAATGGTTTGATCCCTATCCAGCTGAATTCCTGAGAGGAGACGAAATCCAGGTCTCCTACTCCTCCGCCATCTTGCTCCGCCCCCTATGCACTGTATTGTTTATGCAGATTGTATCATTCATGTGTTGTATCATTATGTTGCTGTTTTTATGCTATAATGATGAATTTAGTAGTTGCCACAAAAATCATCTGGCCAACAAGACCTAGGATATTTACGATCTGACCCTTTCCAGAAAAAAGTTTGCCCATCCTTGTTCTAAAAGAGGAAAGGGGATGCTAGCTTATGGAAATTGGCACCCTCCCATCTTTTGGTCTTAACACTACTGTGAGCACTGTGCAAAACAGATATGGTAAGACCTCAATATAATGATGGTCTCTTGGTGAAACCTTTTTAATACTAACCTCAATAACTATCAAGATAATTAACTGGTCTTCTCTTTTGTTATAGGTGAGCAAATCACTAACGTGATACCCACAACTCCTGGATTTCCTTTCAGTAGGAAAGTGACCAACCTCAGAATTCCTGCTACTCTGCAGTTTGCGGTTCTGGCAGAGATAATGTATTTTCTCCCATTCTCTATCCAGTAGCTGCCTGGAATGTGAGTATGGTAATAAAGCACCTTATAGTACTGCAGGGGAATGTATGTTTAAGTTTTTGGTCCAATACAAATATTTGTTGCAGACTTGTGTCAAACACTGTACCGGATCCCAGGTACAAGATGAGCAAGACATAGTCACAGCCATAGGATAGTTAAGTGTTTACCTTAAAGAGAAACTTACTGCCTCATCACAGCAGTGAAGTTGGGCTACATCTTGGACCCTAATCAGATATCTGTTTTCTTCTGATAGAGTCTATGAAACCAAAAACAAAATTAGAAACATTCATAAATTTGTAGAAAATAAAAAGTCCACTACTGCAGAACTGTTTTATACCCCAGAAGCTGTGTTGAGTAGAACTCAGTTTAATTCTGAAAAAATGAATGTTTTTATTATTGACAAAAGAGGTTTTCTTTAGAAAGACCACAGAATTCACGTGAAAACTATATTTGAAGGTGTTGTATAATTTTTAAAACTACTGAAATTACTGTTTTATTTATAAATGCTTTAAAAGCTTTCCTAGTATTTAAAAAAAAAAAAAAAGAGGGGATGGGAGCAGGTAAGAAGGGATTTATGAAGAAAAGGAAGTGAATGGATTGTTAAAAATTCAGAAGTTAGACACTTTTACCGATCTAGCCATGAGATGATCACTTAGTGTGAACAGTGATCCAGAGATAAGTTCAGACTCTGTGAGTTGCAAGATTTTGGACTTTTGGTAATCCAATCAACTCCACTCTCCCTACCAAAATGTGCAGATCTAAATTCTAACAAAACAGCTCCATCTTGTTTCCCCAATTTGACCAAATAAAAATGTTTCCAATCAATTGGCACTTTAATTCAACATAATTCATATATCGAGCTCCTACTATACGCTAAACATCAGAGGACAAGTAAGTCGTAGCTCATGCCTGATGGAGTTCTCAGTCTTATGAACTAAGGGTCATAAAAAAGTGTGACAGAGATGTTCAGGGTGCTGCAAGATACCCAAGACGACGGGGGTGGGGGGACTCACAGCTGGAGATGTTGGGGAAACTTTACAAGGAAGATGATGATTGAACTGGATTTTTAAAGGATGAATAGTTTATCCAGTGGAGTGGGAAAGGAAGGCAATTTCAGAGAAGGAAAGCGTGGGCAAAGGTCAAATGTGTAGAGAAAGGCTAACATTATTGGAGCACTATGAGTAGATTTGTGTGATTTGATCATGAAGTGGTAGGCAAGGCAGTAAGAGAGAAGGTAGACTGGGACCAGATGATATTCTATAGGTAACAACCAACAGAGGACTCCTAAGATTTTTTTCAGATATCCTCAGGGCGCAGAATCCTACACCAGGCATTATGTACAGGAAGATATAAAACAATAGAAGACATGGCCCCTTTCCCCAAAGGAGGTCATGTTCACAGAAGCACCAGTCAAGGAGCTAAGACTGTAGAAAAGTAATGGGATGGGGTCAAGTCCACTTGTGCCTCTTCTCATTATGCACCCTTACAACTAGGCAGGATGTGAAATGTGGAAGCTTGCCAGCACATGGCACGTGGCGGGCATTCAACAGACGTCAGCGGAATCAAAATCTGCATGTCTCCTTTTGCCAGTAACTTGAGGTTATATTCATGAGCATGAGATGTAGTGAGCACGTCAGAATACGTACCGGGCATCCCCAGACGATTCTCTGTATTTCTGACAGCTGATCTTTCATACTGATGTTTTGCTTCATCTAGTAAACAAAGGGATTTTAGGCAAACAAAAATTGTGAAGTTTTTATACATAAAAATAGATTAAAATATTTTATGGCACTTGATACAGGGCTCAGTATTTTGATAAACTTTAGTAAAAATCTCAGTTTCGTGTCCCCAGTGTTCTAAAAACAAAGAGGCAAGTGACAAGACTGTATTCACAAAGTATCTTCAGGGCAAAATAAGTTTTCAGTTCACATTCAGCCTGGATGCCCATGTAATATGCACATCACAACAATATTTTCAGAACGATAGTACTGTCTTTCAAGATGCTGAATTCTTTCAGAGAATAATTATGATTTCTATACTTACTGAGGCAGATAAGTTAATTAATAAGAAGTACCTTCCAAAACAAATGATTTTACTTTTTTTCTTTTAGTTATCTAGAAAAATCAATCCAAATATTCAATTCTTCAAACTTTCATATTAATAAAAGTTTTATGGCACTTATCCAGATCTCTGAAAACATTCTCTCTCATGTTGTTTGGCTCAGAATAGATCCTCTTAGTGCTCAAAATCACTGAGCCCAATGATTTCACATTAAAAGGAGGAAAGACTTTGAAGAACACCACGAAAGGATAAGGTATTTCAGGATCTTTGAGTCAGTACCACAAAGCATTGTAACATTTGTAAAAGACACGAACTCTTATCAGCAACCAACCTGATCTATATAACTTTTATATTTTTTGAGTCGGTCAATTGCAGTGGTCACGTCCCCACGGTCAGCATGTTCTGCGGGAGTGTGAAGCCTCAGTGCGTAGAGAAGATTAACATATTCTTCAAATCTTCGTGATGGGTACAAAAGCAGCTCCGGGAGGCTGTATGAGGCAGGGAAAAGGGAACCCTGGTCGCTCTCTGAAGGTCAAAGTGTGCCCTGTCCTTGGGGCGCCCCACTGTGCACTCCCTCAGAACTTACCTCAGCATTTTGGTCACAATGGTCTTATCATGTCTCTTCAGGAAAGCTCGGAATGCTGGTATCATTTCTCTGCACTAAAGGTGAGCATTATGTCAAAATTTTGCTGTATAATATGGCTGAAGAGACTTCTGTTCCACCAGACAAGCATGGTCTATGATGCACTCAAAGCAGAAGGGGCAACAACTACATCTAACCAAAGCATGACTAGTACTTTTGGTGCTTACTAGTCTACTAAGTACAGTGTATTAATTATATCATAAGGTAACCCTATTCCGTGAATTTAATCAGTATAGACAAAATAGACTTTGCAACCAGGTAGGCCTGGATTAACGTTAAAATTCTAATTTAATTCTATCTAATTCTATGTGACCCTGTCAAGTTATTTAACTTCTCTGAGCCTCAGCTCTTGCATGGATTATCTTACCTAACTCTTGTGGTGATGAGGGGGAAAATCCTATCCATAAAGTGCTTGCCAGGCAGTAAATGCTATCTCCACAGTAATAAGCTATTAATAGTATCCACTGTAATACTGTTGTTAACTATGTTTTCCGTAGTAACATCATAAAGGGGCTCCACTGTGCTAAATATCTGTTTTAAAATGTGTTCATTCATCACCATTAGAGCACTCAGGAAGTGACCTCATTTTTCTCAGTACATACGTGCCTCAAAGATGCCAGAAATGCATCAAATATTCACTGGGTGTACTTATTAACAGCTAATGTTTACTGACTATCTGCACACCCCATGCCAGTGAAATAGATATCATTATTATCCCTAACTATAACAATTTTGGTATCAATTTATGATATCACGTGACACGTCGGTCCCATTCTTGTCCTAAAGGTTGGTTCTCTGAAACTGCCTTATTCATGCAACTTTCACATAATCCAGTTGTCTGGCAGTATTTAAGCTCCCTACATGAGGCAAGAATGATACTACAAAGGGAGAGGTCTGAGGTCGGGATGTGTCCAGAGGCCTCCCAGACCCCAGGCCTTGCCCTCAGGGCCTCAGTACGGATAGGTGGACGCAGCCAAAGTGAATATAGGAGACACTAGCAGAAGTGCACGGGACCGTCTTCTGCTGCCCTTTTGATGTAAATTGAAGAGGAAAGAAAGAGAGAGCTCACTGCCATCAGAAGACAGCCGGCAAGAGCAGCGAGTGACGCAGAAGGGAGCTGAATATTCCGGCCCACACTGCATACAGCTTAGGTCACGAAGGGAAAAATTGTTTATCATGAACTCTCAAAGGAATTCAAGACAAAGAAATCCTTAGTTCATGGTGAGATTTCACAAATGAGTGTCCTTATTCCAAGAAACATATGGATTATTAATTCCTTTTCTCTGGAAGAGAGTCAAACTTGTCAAGGCCACAGAGCAGTGAGTTGGCAGAGCAGAATCAGGGTTCTCAGTCTTGTTTCTCCCTCGCTGTGAAACATTTTTCTGTAACTGAACCACAGAGTATCTGGGGCAGCTAGAGGAAAGCCCGGCCATTTGCATGATTAGTTCAGTCCAACAACCAGTCCCTGGGTCCTGCCGTATCAAGCACTGTGTTAACCCTTAGTGATACACAATTAAGTAAGTCAGGGGCCCTGTCCTCAAAGAGCTCACAGTCAGCTGGAAGCTAAGAGTAGGGAAGAAGTCTTTCCTATTAATCCTAGTCCTTTGGATTGCACACAAAACTTCCTTTCAAGCTCAGAAAGTCTCATTCATGCCTGGATGGTAACTCAATCATTACCTTCTCCATAGTTCTCAGAACAACCGGGTAATTGTTGAAGAAATTGGTGTATGTGTTCAACCGGCTTCCAAACTTGAGGAATATTTCTCCCACGCAGTGGGCTGGGCCCCATTCCTGCAGTCTGTCTCTCAGGTTGTCTAGAAACTGCCTGCCACATGAGAAAAGCATGCCCGTGAAATACTGGCCGGGGATAACCTAGAAACTTAAAAAATAAAAATAAATTAGTTGTCATTAGTGCAGCCTGGCAGGGCTTTTGTCACATCTGTTTGCCTTGACACAGAGAGGGCAGATTTGCCCAGAAAGGAGGAGGGGCGGGGGTGTGAGGAAGTAGGCTGACTCCGGTGGAATCTCGCCTCTTCCTCTTAATCCCCCGAGTGGGAGCCCTAGGCTGGCCTCCACAGTGCTGTCCCCTGACTGTCCCACTCCCATGTGGCCAGCCAGGCAGGCGGGGAAGGTTTCTTAGAGTCCCCAGAGGAGAGTGCTCCACTCGCTTCGAATGCCTACCTCCCGACTGGCCCTCTGCTGTGGACCTAGCGTTGTTCATCGTTCAGCCGTCACAGGCCTCGAAGCTGGGAAAAGGCCTAGTTTAATCCCCTCCTTTTGTAGCAGCTGGGGCCCAGTGGGGGTGAGGAGCTTCCGAGTTACCCTGAGAGTTACTGGCGGAGCGGCTCAGTCTGTGTCGTCCGCACACATGATCACTTTCCTGTGTTGACGGGCATACTTGAAACTGTACTGTCATTCAGCTGGCCCCCAGCCTTGGTTCCCTAAGCCCAGTATCCTAGTGACCCGATCCCATGAAACCCTTTGTTTTCTTTCCCTTCGCTCAGCCAGACACTGCTGATTAAGAACGGTGCCCGACAGCTCTCCTTCCTCTTGCCTTTGTGTGAACAGTACACGGAACACAGGACCCCCAGGCCCCGAGCTCCACTCCTGGAACCGGGGCGTGGAAATGAGGCAGGGGTAAGCCCCTGGGCATGGTGGTGGCAAGAGCCCTCTCCCGTGAGACGATCAGGGGCTCCAAGAAGGGGCTCCTCGGTACAACGTTTGAAACAGTTAAGTGTGGGTTCTTCCGAAGGCATAATGAATATTTGAAAAAATACCTCTTCAGAGTTTACCTGTTGAGACTTAAAATCTGCAAAATATCAGAGAAAATGATGTGGATGCTTGCAGCACTGAGAATCGCTCTGTTTGATGACAACGCTGCTTTCAGGGGCGTTACATAGACATCTCTCACAATTTCCAGCATCTGCACGTATTTTCTCTCGCTCTCTAAGAGTTCCCCGACAACTCTCGATCGCTTTTCAGCTGAGTCCATCTGGAACTCTCTCTCCTGTAGAAAGGCATTAAGAACTCATAGGGAAAGCAGAATGACCCCCGGTTTACAGCCTCAAAGAGCCTGAAAGTCAAAGAAGGTAGAGAAATGACGGGCTGAACAGTCAGGCAGTGACTCTGTGAGAGTCCCTCTTTGGGATTTGCGCTAAACACGGTTGAAGGGGACCTTGACAGGGGACTGTGGTGGACCCTGCTGGCCACTGCTTGACACACTAGAACCAATGAGGCCCTCACATCAGGCCAGCCTCATGCCCTAGCAGAGATGGGGCTTTTAGTCTTGGATCTTGAGGAGGGCAGATTGAGGCCCGATGTTTATCCATCTATCCACCCCAATACGTATTCAGTGACATGGGCTTGGTGCTGACTACACAATGGTAGGAGGACAGTCTTGCCTTCGTGGGAATGACGGTCCACTGTGGAAGCCTTTGGGTTGCCCACTCTTGATTGCTTTCCTATTTCTTCTTCCTCAGTGTTTTACAAATTGATTTATAGTGTTTTATTGATTATCCTGCAGACAGAAGAACTGAAATGAGCTAGCCCTCTCCTCATCAACTAATCTGCTTCTCACAGGCATTTATGAAACCCTAAACTCAAGCTCTTCTTTCCACATTTAGGAAAAAGGACCCTAACATGGAACTGTGAATGCATTTGGCTAGGTGGCTAAAGGTCCTGTTTTCTATATTTCAAAGTCCTGTTTTATCCTTTAATGCAGAGGGAAAAATCATACACTGGTGTAAAGAAGCTCCCCACCCTATTATTATGTATGCTATGGAGACACATGGAGAAATAAATTTTCAGTACTGGGACTAGGTAATTCTTTTTCTTTATCTGTATTTTTCAAAGGTTGAAAAACGAGTGTCTAGAATGAATATCTAGAAAACAATTATAGTATTTAAATTTAAAAATTTTAATGGCCTTGTATTTGAGCCTAGAACTATTAATACTCTTAGAACAAAATTTCTTCTTTTCCCTTCAGCCCTAAATATGCCCCATAGTGCCCCAAATAAAATATGACAATACTAAGTGTAACACCATGTGACCTTCACCCAAAACAAATCAACCATGACTTCATGAGCTAAAATTAAAATGTGAAAGTAATTTAAGAGAAAAAACAGAAAACTCACTCTATGAAATACTATAGACACACTGTTCTTGGTTAAGTTTTACCTAATGTGTTAAAAAAAAAATACATTTGTATCCCACCTGGCTGCTGGCTTGGAGCCCATATTACATTTTTATGCATAAATTTTTTTTTAAATATTGGAGTTTTCCAATGTTTATAATCATTTTGAATTAAGGTTTCAGTTGTCAAACCTTTCGTTGTTATCTTCAAACCAATGTCAGGTGTTATGACCGCCAGTGAGACGAGACATTATCATAGTCACGGCCCGACGTAAACCCCCTCGTCCTTGGTGATTCCTGGGGGGTGGATCTGAGGGTGTGCGGGCGCCCAGGCCGCGAGGTCCACACCTGCACTGCACGCAGCAGGTGGATTTGCCCAGCGTGTGGAGGGGCTGGGAAGGAGCCCCAGGACTGAGCTTCAGACCTGGGGCTTCAGGTATCTTTCTCCCCTGGCTGTCTGACCTTAGGGAAGTCATTTAAAGTGTTCTAACTTGAGTTCCTCATCTACAAAATGTGGTTGCTAATGTCTACCTGAAAGGATTCTGAAAACGAAAATACGATGATGAATTCACGAACGTGTTAGGGCCAGACAGGACCACGCCTCTGCTGGTCTGCGCTACCCTTTGCAAACAGAAAGTTATATTGATCATACTCAGCCTTTGAAATCAGACCACCAGTTGGTGGGTCAGACCCTTTATGTGCATGGGCCATTTCTTTAAATTCTGTCCTCATGTCACATTAGAAAATCAGAGTAGCGCCAAGATGGCTCTTGTTCCCAAGATGTTACATTTCCATCCTCTTGGTTTGACTTCTTTTCAGACCAGGGCTTACTCAAAAAAGAAAAATCTACCCGTTGGATTCCCCCCTCAATTATATTTAGAGGTTTTGTTTTTTTTTTATTCCCCTTAAGGGAAACTTTCAAGAAAAAAAGGACTAACCAGAATAAAGACTGAAGCCTTTTTTTTTTTTGGTCAAGAGCAAAACAAATGGAAAATTCTTACTGTGCAGTGATTGGCTTACCAGCTTAACCAGCATCTCCAAATTTGGATCGTTTTTGCTGAGACTTGATTTTGTGTCCTGAGGGTTGTCTTCTAGAACATTTCTTTCCTGAGGATTCAAGGCAGACTTGATTATCTAGGGGCAGGCCTTGGGCTGTCTGAATGCCCAGTGGGTGAGGTGCCCACAGGAGGTCTCCAGTAGCTGTCTGCCCTCAGCCTCAACCACACTGTACCCCGCACACAATGAACGAAGGAAGCACTTGACACATGTGATGCCTCTCCTAAATTAAATTTTATGTTAAAAAATAATAATAACCTTTAGCTTCCTAAGAACTGCATTATACTTGAGAAATGAAATTCAGGGCAGCCCCCTTTTCCCCCTGGGAGGCAGGGGACTGACACTCAAGGAATCCCACACATTCCAGGCTTCTGCCTCATTCTGCTCTGTCCCTTGTCAGCTGAGGGCAAATGGCTCATCTTACTTTTGAAACTGCCAGAAGAAAAAGCTCACAGCACTTTGTAAAATCCACCCCTTTTTTTATCTAATGAAAATGGGTCAGAAACAGTTCACATGCTCTCTCTAGACCTATTTCCACATTTAAATATAGCTTATTCTTTCTTCACTTTCCTTGTGAGTTGTTCTTGTGGCTTCCATATAAATTAGCACATTAGAAAAAAATAGTCCTGGGGCGCCTGGGTGGCTCAGTCGGTTAAGCCACTGACTCCTGGTTTCCGCTCAGGTCATGATCTCAGGGTCGTGAGATGGAGCCCCATGTCAGGCTCTGTGCTGGGCATGGAGCCTGCTTAAGATTTTCTCTCTCCTCTTTCTCTCTTTCCCCCCACTCCTCCGCTCTATCTCTCAAAAAAACAATAGTCCCACCTGCTGCTTACAGGGTCCATTCTAACAATGGAACAATGGCCCCGCGTTTGTGGTGAGAGCGGATGGATGATTCCTGGTCACCACGGCTGCCTTTTCCAGTCAAAGATAAAACTACTCATGGTAACCCCTTGAGAGCTAAGGGTGAGACTGGAAGAAAAACGTCAATTTATAACCAAGACGTTTTTGTTTTGCCTTACTCTCCTCAGGCAGAATGGAATTTTTACTTTGTATCTGCAGCCGTTCTTTATGGCTGCCTGAAGCCTTTGTATGGGAGGCGCGGTCCCCAGCGCGGCGGGCTGGCTTCTCCCCGGTTTGCAGGAGGCCCCTCCCGAGCCGCAGCACTTGGCCGCTGCCCCAGTCCTCGCACCGTTTCTTTTCCCTTCCCCATTTGTGGCTGTCCCGGATCAGCCTGGCATGCCCTGAGGCTTGTGCTGGGGGGAGGGGGCGGCGGGGATCTACTGTGAATTTTGACGAAATCGTTCAGAGTTTCTAAGAAGGGAGCACACGCTCTTCTTTCAGAATCAGTGCTAGTGCTCGTTATTTGTGGACACCTGGGAACTTCAAGCAGGCGGTGGCAACACTGGTAATTCTACAACTAGGAAGAACTTCTACGACAGGTAGAAGAGGCTGCAGACATAAAATGAAAATTACATTCAAACTGGCCCAAGATGGAGAGAACGCAAACCGCACAGGATTACGTTACGATTCAGCGGCTGGCGCGGCTCCCTGGGCCACCCCGGTTGTGGGGAGCCTGCTCACTCACCCCGGGGCTTCCGCTCACCTCTGGCTCCGCAACAGCCATTTTTATTAGATATAAATTTTTATTTGTGGATAGGAAATGGATTTGGCATGGTAATTTTGTTTGAATCTAAAAATATCAAGTTTTCTCATTGCATACTATCCATCTAGTTTTTTAAAATTGTAAGGACTTTCCCCCCCCCCCCAAGGGAGGGCGGGGAGGGGCGCAGGGAGCCAGAGAGAGAGAATCTCAAGCAGGCTCCAGCCCACCGCGGAGCTGGATCTCACCACCCTGAGATCAGGACCTGAGCCGAAATCGAGTCAGACGCTTCACCGACTGAGCCTCGCAGGAGCCCCTAGACTATTTTCAGGTTAAGATGCCATCCCTTATTTTGTTTTCAGGTATGAATTCAGAGGAAGTAACAGGAGCAACCGACTTGGCACATTTGTAAGGGAACTCTTATTGTGGGTTGGTGGGCTTTGCCTTCGTCTCTCTCCCTGACATACGAAGGAGCCCTCTGATTACATGGTAGGAATTTTCCTACCTTGTCTGCCTTTTCCAGATACATCCTAGTTATAGCTGATGCTTCTCCCAGAAGACACTCAGCTCCCGAATTAGGGGCCAGAAATAGTTGTGCAAATGACAGGTAGAGCTCGGGGACAACTCTGATTCTGGCTGTGGCCTGTCACCGTGCTGTACAGTGTCAGTGTTAACACTCCAGCTACACCAAGCCAGGAGTGAGTACTGATAGGGCCGTAGTGGGTGGGTAGGATCTGACTGGACAGCTGGTAGGTAGATAGACAGACACACATACACAGCTATCTGTATGTGCATATATGGGCAGAGTCTGGGCCTTCTGGAGGGAGGGTGAGCCCTGTCTGGTCATGCCTTCAGACACAGCTCCGTGTGTGTCTCTGGTCCTGGATTTGGCAGGCAAGCCCTCTGACTGGATCCCCCTATGGAAGGGTCTTTAAAACAATTCTCCCAGCAGAAGCCATTACTTTCCATTCCTAGGGCTGTGAGTTTGTGTGCCCTTCAGGACAAATATCTAGCGTTTATTTATTTATTTATTTTTAAAGATTTTATTTGACAGAGAGACAGAGCGAGAGAGGGAACACAAGCAGGGAGGGTGGGAGAGGGAGAAGCAGGCCTCCCGCCGAGCAGGGAGCCCGATGCAGGGCTGGATCCCAGGACCCTGGGATCATGACCTGAGCCGAAGGCAGACGCTTAATGACTGAGCCACCCAGGCGCCCCGATACCTACCGTTTAAAAAATAAACTCCAATGTGTGGAGAAACTCAGTTTCTCTATTCTATCCTAATTCGGCACCTATGTTTAAGCTATAGTTTTTCTTCCTGAAAGTCCCTGATTTTGTTTCATGGGCTTTGTGCACAAGCTCGTAAGTGTTAAACGATAGAAAACCAAGTAAGAAATCTAATACATATTTTTTTCTAATTTGATTTTTTTTTTAAAAAGAAATTCCTAGGCATTAAGGAGCCTTTCACTTCTGTGGATTTATTACAGGTGGGTGATGTCACACTAGTAGGCCTGCTTTCCAGCAGTGAGGCAACTTAAAGCCCAAACATTCTATATTAGTTTATTCAAGTGATTAGATGTTTAGGTCAATAGCAGGTTGGAAAGACTTGATTCCATGTGGATCTTATTTGCCAGAAGAAAGAACCCAAGTGTCTTTGAGAGGAAATGCTCCCAGTGACCATTCTTTTAGGTGTCAGAGTTTCCAGAATTGGTTCTCGCCAATTGTCAGGTTTTCAAATGGAAAAGAAACACTTCAGAGGAGGAAGTGCTGATCATTTTTGTCCCCCTTTGCTTCCTTCAGGCTTCCTTGCTTCAAAGAGGAACATTTCTGGGGTCTGTGTGTCTGGGGGTGGAAGAACTCCAGTAAGGTTTCCAGGGAGTCGGTAATGATGCAGACGTTGTGGGGGCTTCAGAAGAATTTGGATCCCGTGTGATGTGGTTGCATGCTGGGCATCCCCTTTAGGGAAGCAAGGGAAAACTGGTGGTTCTAGAGCCCCGAGAGCTGTTTTTCAAAGGCTTTCACAGACTGAAGGATAGATGGAGATAACATCCACCTTTTTGGGAGACTAATCCCCACGAATCTCAAAAGATAACAGCTGCCATAATAAGGCAAAAAGCCTCTGAGAAGCAGAAAGGGACTCTCAATTAAATACCCACTTTAGCGTTCCCATTCCCTCCTACGCATCCTGCTAAGAGGCACCAATCATGCCGTGTCATCTGTTTCTGTGCAGGCTTATCTACCTCAGAGCAGTGACTGCGTCTGATTTTGTTGTCTATTTCCAGGGTACAACACAGTGCCTTGCACGTGCTTCATTCCTGTAAATATTTAGGAAACTGAACTGAGAAGATGGGAGGGCGTAGCTAACCTCTAACTGAGAAATTTTCTGTGATGATTAATTTTGTGTCAATTTGACTGGGCCATGGGGTGCCCAGACATTTGGTCAAATTACTCTGGCTGTGTCTGTGAAGGTGTTTTTGATGAGATTAACACTGAAATAGGTAGACTGAGTAATGCAGCTTGCAATCCCTAATGTGGGTGGGCTTCACCCAATTAGTTGAAGGTCTATAGAACGAAAAGCCTGGACCTCCCTCAAGTAACAGAGAGTTCGTCCTGCCTGATAGCCTTCAAACTGGGACATTGGCTTTTTCCTGCCTTTGGACTTGAACTGAAACATCAGCTCTTCCTGGGTCTTGAGCTTGCCAGATTTTGGACTAGAATGTACCACTGGCTCTCCTGGGTATCTCCAGCTTGTAGACTCACCCTGCAGATCTTATGGCTTCTCAGCCTCCATAATTATGTGAGCCAATTCCTTATAACAAATCTCTCTGTGTGTATATATCTATATTACACATGTATATATGGATCCTAGTAGTGTATACATACATACACATATAAGTAGTATACTATACGATGTATATAGTATACTATATGCTATATAATATTATATAACATAGTATAATTAATACAATATAGTATAGTATATGGTATGTATATAGTATACTATACATAGTATACCAGAACGAATAGGATACATATGTATATATAAATGATCCTATTCGTTCGGATTCTCTGGAGAACCCTGACTGGTGCATGGTCCGCGAGTTTCCTGAACTGAGGCATGAGGCAAGGGGCATGAGGCAAGCAGGGCTCTGTCTTAAAAAGGGCTTAGAAGTCCCTGGAAATGTGTTAGGACTCTTCTTGGAAAGGAAGCCCGTGCTTGGGAAAAATAAGTCACTTTGGCAGTGAGGACGGTTAAAGCAGGGGTCCTTCTCTGGTAACGTCCGAGGGGTGGCCCCGCATACCTGCAGGCCTGTCATGCTGCTGAGCAAGTCTGCAGCTGCGGCAGAGGGGACCCTGCCCCCAGCAGCCCTCCTTGTTCGCCCTCCCCTGCGCTGTGCTATCTTCTAAAGAAGTGTGATCAGAGGCTTCCAGAATATCAGGTTAATAGGGCAACAAATTATTTGTCTGCTTGATGGAACTCACAGGTCTCCTCCTACTAATAGTTTTCATGGGGGTGGGGGTGGCGTCCCCAAGCCTTTGATCATCCAAGAGGTGATTTTTCTATGAGCGTCCCGTGATTCGGAAATGACATTTGCATAGAAACCAGCTCTCTGAATGACAAGGCAATTTTCAGTGTTTCCCGAATCCCAATTATTTCACAGAACCAAGGATGGCTGGACTCTGAACATACTACTGGCACAATTATTCTTGTTTGCTTGGAGGACTGGTTTAAAACCCACTTTTTTTTTTTTCCTTTTATGAACTGGAATCTCAACTAAGAAAAGAAGAACACGGCCGTGTTTCCCCCCAAAAGTGTCATGGGCTGCAAATGAAAACACTGTCTCTCTCGAGTGAGCCGGGGCTCCACCGAGTGAGCGGCACAGGGCGAGGGGCTGACTACCCCGCCCCGCCCCGAGTGGCACTACCCCAGTCGCTAGGCTAGGCGGCTTCCGCCCTCAGGTGGCTTGAAGGCCACTCTTGCTAGGAATCTACAAAGCCCCCTTTTTTATCATAGCCCCTGGAAGGGAAGTTCTTAGGAGAAATGACAAGGTGAAGGCTTTCCAGGGAGGATGATCCTTATTGTTTATGGATTTCTTAACCACAGGTGTCTAAGCACACAGTGAATTAATGACATAAAACTGCCCCTTATCACTTTACCTGCGGAGGTAAACTGAGTGCGGCCTTTGGATCACGTTTTGTCGGAATAACGTTTTCTTCAAAATCCTTGCTCCCTTTACCACATTTCTTCAGCAGAAAATCTGACAAAAACTCCAGAGGTTTGTCCTAAAAAAAACCCACCCCCCCAAACCAAAAGAAAAAAGAATTTCCAGTTAAAACATTCACCTGGAAAACAGGTCAATACAGGTGCAGCAGAAAAGAGAATATATTTTTAGTAGCGTTTTCTTCTTTCTACCTAATTAAACGTCTAGAAAACTAAGTAAGTATTATTCAATTAAAGTCTGTAAACGGGACTTTGCAGTTAATCCCTGTTCTCTTATTGTCACAATCCAATTAGGATGCCAAGGTCTTGTGGGGAAGGTCTCAAGATCTTCAGAACCAAAGTGGCCCAAAGTTGCCCACGTCAGTCTCGAGGCCAGATGAGGAACGGGGACATGAGGGAGCCTGCTTTCTCTGGGGGGACAGAAGCATGGGAGAGGCCTTGCAGCAGGATGACTGCACAGAACAGCCTAGGACACCCCCACATTTGGTTCCCTCTCAGGCTAGAGGTTTGAGCACCAGCGAAATTACATCATACAAGCTCATTTTAAAATAATTTGGTTGGGAGTAAGTACACTGAACCTACACCAAACACGTTTAGTAATTCTTTGGTCTTTCAGGAGACAGTTCAGGACCTTTCAAGACCTCGGATCATCCCTGTGAACATCCCTGTTCATTTTACTCCCTGGGCTGACGATGGGTAGCTAGAACAGTGAGGAGCTGGGTCTTCAGAGAAGACAAATCATGGCCAACTGCAGCTTCTCAGACTCCGCCCTGTGCTCAGCTAACTCTGGAGATGCCTGCTGCTCACCCAGGCAGCCACCTTGAAACCAGAGCAGACCCCTGGTAGATAAAGGACATGTACAAAGATGATGTTAAATTCATCCACAAGGTAGAATCACTCCAGTGGAAGAGAAGGATTGAGAATCTTTCCGTGGAGAACTAAAGACCTTACGTAGCATCAGGTATGGTACTATCATCCCTATTCCTATCCTGTTCTCCACTTCCCCGGAACAGAGCTGCAGAGTTCATGGTCCTAGAGCCCTGCCATACGGGGTCCCGCATACTGTCTCTCCTCACTATTTCCTGATGCGTCGACTGACTTTTCTGGGAGAGTAGCCAAGATCGGTTTCTGAAAAAATGCTTCTACATGCTTCCCCCATGCCTGTCCCCAGCTAACTTACTGATTTGCTTATTTGTGTTTTTTTGTGTTCTCCTTCCCTTCCTCTCTCAACTAGCCTTTTTTGCCCTTCATCATTTTCTATCTGGTTTCATGCTTTCTTGGTTTTCCTATCATACTATTAATTGTTTAAACTGTTAAGTAATGTTTATGTGAAACATAAAGCCACTAACATGTTGTTTAAGGAAGTCACTTCTGACTGAAATTAATCACAAGACGGAAAACAGCACACAATGTAAATACGTCTTAAATAACCTAGAAAATTTTCCCATTTGTCTATTTTTTTAAAAAGATTTTATATATATATATATATATATTTATTTATTTATTTATTTGAGAGAGAGAGGGAGAAGCAGGCTCCCGGCTGCCCATGCGGGGCTCCATCCCAGGACCCTGGGATCATGACCTGAGCTGAAGGCAGATACTTAAGCGACTGAGCCGCCCAGGTGCCCTTATATTTGTCTATTTTGTGTACCTAATACATCTTGGGCCCAGAATCTCTCAGTGGCTGTTTTTACAACCTGATGTAATTCTCAGAGGAATTGTGTCTCCCAAGGGATAAACTGGTTTAAAAAAAAATCAGTGCAAACTAAAAACGTATAAAGTGTTAGGTTTTTAAAGTTTGCTTTCTTCGAAGAAACACTCACAGAATTATCTTTTGTAAGTTCCATCAATCCATCTGCCAGAGCTTGTGCAATTTCTTGGTTATTCAGAATGCTAGCCATACTCGTGTGGTCAAAAGTAAGCTGCCCTGTAAGTACATAAGGCCATACGCCTTGTAATTAATTGATGTAAGAGATGTGAGCAAGAAGAAAACAACTCATTCCTCACAGTTGCTTTTTAGTGGATTAAAAAATGTGAAGCATAAAAATTAAAATTCTATTATGCCATGGGGATTATCCACCATGATAAAATATAAATTGAGCAAGCATAACTAAATGTAAAGCATATTAAAAAGTACCCGCCCTGGTGAAGCTGATATTAAATAGAATCTATAAATTGGACAATAAGGAGAAAACAGGTGAAAATAAACCTTATAAGTTTAAATTTTAGATTCTCATTCCCACCAAAACTTCCTCCTCACACCCCGGTATTTTTGAGTTCAAGACTTAAATAGTTTAAGTCTACAGCAAACAACATACAACCATAATTACACAGACATCTTTTTATATTTTTAATATTTTGAACAATGTGCATTTATATGCAAATAATTTTATTCCATCTAACTTCTCATTTCTTACAAATATCATCAAAAATACTTCTATCTTGAAAAAGCTAATTTTTCTGCTTTTCTCTTTGGTCCTTAATATCTATGAAAAAAAACAGGAGAAATAATTTCTCCCTGTTTATAGCCTTATAACCTTTTTAAAATATTGGTTGAACATCTACTAAATGTGGTCAAGCAGATAGTACATAAAACCAAGAACACAGCTCCCTGTTTTGGAGACATTTATGTAAAGTGATGTAGGACATACATTGACATAAAATATCTACATGCATACTTGTGTGCTATTGCTCTTGTGTAGACAGTAATTGTCTGGGACCTTAATAAGAAGCAGGGTAGGGAGGGAAGAAGGAAGTAAGACATAACTAAATAATGACTTGATTTCGAGGGTATTTTAGTCAGATGGGAAGCGTTAGGGATAAATTGAATAGGTAGTTAAAGATGGGGGTGGTGGTCATTTACCCAGATGATAAATAAACAAAACAAACAAACAATTTCATTTTAAAGAATGGACTGATTTAGGGGAAGATCTGGTTGCCACAGAAAATGGCTTCCAAGACTCTATTGTGATAGATTAGTCATGAGTAGGGAGTGCAAATGGGATGATAAATTCAGTGATGTCCAAGAGGCTCAGCAGAGGTCTGTGGAGCCCACCACCAAATTGAATATTTTATCTAGAAAATACATAGAACACAATCATAGAACAACTTAAGTAATGGGTGTTATGTCTAAGAGGAGCTTAACTTTTAGACCAAATTGTGGTGGGAAGAAGGGCAGAGCCCTCTGGCTTAGCAAACACTCAGTGAGTTTTGTCTAGGTAAACCACTGACGGGCATAGGATTAGTAAAACACTACTATTTAAAAGGAATAGCTTCAGCATTTTGAAGATGAATATATTTTTTGTCAGTGGATAGTCCTTACATTTGAAAGGAGATATGGAAAACAAAGGAAAGAAAGTTTTACTGAACAGGTATAGAAGCCCGCTTTTGCTTGAGCCGTTCCTGACCTTGTATTCACCCTAGATAGGGAAGGACCTTCATAATGAACCTACAACAGAAGCAGCAAGAGTTCTTACCTATTATCCTGGCACTGATGTTCTTTTGCAACTCCTTGAAGAGAGGACTTAACTGTTTCCGTACTGATTTCAAGGTGTCTTCCAGACAATCCGTGAAACTGGACCACATCTGCAGCTTTGACTCACTGAAGTAGATGGAACAGGGAGCCCTTTCCCACGGTCTTCCCAGCCAATCACTAAGAACTGACATGATTTTCTCCTTTTATTATTGTGGACTGGAGCTCAGATGAAAGAATTCTTCTTATTTATGATACAACAAAAACTTAGCTGTATTTACAGCAGACTTATTCTCCTTTCTCATTAGAAGACTAAGAGAAACACCCATTAGCTGCTTTCAAAGGTAAAATTAGAAGCTTAAGGACACAATGAATAATTTCAAATGCCTATCTCTTCTTTGACAGATAAGGTTGATATGTTACATTTGAAATCAAAATTAAATAGCTGCTGGATTTGTATATCAGGAAGCAGAGTAGGCAAGAATGTGCTGCTTTTTCTTTACATCCTAAAATGAACATACAAGAAAACCCCACTCTGCCTGGTCTCCCCACCATGTCATCCAAAGTCATCTTGGGCTAGCCAACCCTGTGGCTTCCTTACATCATGTCAAGCTGCTCTCTCTCTCTAAATATCTCTACATGACTGTAGTGGGTGCTTAAGGATGTTCTCTCCTTGAAAGTCAATTACTGAATGATGCTGGGGCATGTTAAATCTGATTTTCTGTCCTCAATGGATAGATAGCCTTATTTGATTCCCCTCCCCTCATTTTTATTGATAAACATGTGCAACTCTTTATAACATGCTTTTCTAGAAGAAAACTAAGAAGAAGAGAGGGAAAAGGAAGATGAACAGAAGGAAGAGGAGACACAGGAGGAGAAAAGGAAGAAGAGCCGCCCCATAAAGAACAGTGTTTGCACCCTGCTCCCTGCTGCAAGGCTGCCATCCTATCTGCACAAGGCCCAGTGTGCTATCTATCACTTGGTAATGTAGCTATAGAACTAAAATTAACAAGTGACTTCTGCTACAAAAATCTAGCAGGTCAATGTGCTCTTTTGTAGATACATGGAGTCTTTTCCCTTACAGGTTTCCAATCATGCCAGTTCTCCCCAGGCTTGAAAGTCCCTTGGCATTTGGGATTAGAGACGTCATGTTTTATATGGTTTCTACATGGCCCCAAACCCCGTGTAATAGGAGGCCAGGGAGTTTTAAAGGGGAAAATGGTTCTTGTTACTTTAGCAGAGCACTGTGGTACTCTTGTTGGTCAGCCAGTGTTACATTTGCATTTAATATCTGCAGCTTCAGTATCTAAATGAAACTTTCCTTTCAGGTGTATATTTTATCTTTGTTTTTCCTCTCAGATAATGCAGTTGAATTGGAACCTGAGCAATCCCCTTCACCATCTCTTTATAGCTACAATTCTTATTTCCAAAGGAAACCATATTGATTCTGTCTCACTAAGAAGAATTATTCTTGGTACTTGTTATTTCTCTAGATCAGCAACTATACATCTTTAACTATTAAAAATGATGTTTTCAACAGAGTTTGTGTACATGATGGTTTGAAGCAAATATTTGTAATAAATAATCCCTTTCTAAGCACTTGAAAGGGCACTGGACCATGGAAAATGACATAGTTTGGGTTGTGACAGCATTCCTTTTGAGAGGGAATGGAAGACAGTCATCGACATGGGCCAGAACCAGTATTATTAGCTGTGCTTTGTCTTTTGGTGACCCCGGAGTTGAGGATGTTCCTGGGCACTGTGGTCAGCCCCCACATACACTTACTGTGTTGGTAAGAGCCAGTTGCAATTCCAGTGGGGGCAGTAAAGAATGTGCCAGTTAGTTGAGATAACTGGGAAAGAACTTCCATTCCTGCCTCTGCAGAGTCAAAAATACTTTCATTAGTTTACTCACAGGTTTTGCCTTGGAACAGTTAAGTACCACTTAGGAGCACTAAGCTGGCCAAGAAAGGTCCCTAGCATTTCTCATCTTCAATTCAAATCCCTCATGGAACAGTCCGTAAGCACTTTCTAGCTCACCTCTAAGTGCTGAAGTCCAAACACTTAGTTAATGAGGACTAAACAACAGGGTGGAGAGACAGGGCAGGAAGGTTGACCTGGTGTTTATTTTCAAAGTTGGAATACTCAGGCCAAAGACAGAGAAAAATCTAATATATTTTCTAAACTAGTCTGACTCAAAGGAGAAGTCTCATTGTAAAAGGACAGATGTAGAACTGTTGAAACTGTTAAATACGATGGTCAAAATTTAGTGTGGTATTAATTTCACCCCTTCTTCAGTGACACAGCATAAAGATTGGATTCAGCATATAGAAGGAATTAGTGTGAATGAAACTAATATATTGGATTATGTATTTTAATTCTTTGTGGTCTAAGAATAAACAATTACTCCAAATTGGTTGGAACAAGATGGCGGTGGTTGAAAGGTTGGGATGTCTCTCATTTACTGGGGGTCTAATCTTTTAATTGGAATGGATCAATGAAATCAAATAGAGTCCACAGATATACCTACATATATGTAGTCAATTGATTTCAACAAAGATGCAAATGGAACACCCTGTGAAAAGATAATCTTTACAAGGAATGGTGCTGGAAAAATTAGATATCCATACGTTAAAAAAACATGAAACTTCAACCCATACTTTTAAAACTATATAAAACAAACAAATAAATCAATGGATCAGAAATCTAAAAGTCAAAACTAAATAATTTAGAAGAAATTCTTTATTTCTAAAATAAAGAAAATCTTGTGAACTTTAGTCAGATAGTGTTCAGATATGACATTGAAGGTATAACCTATAAAAGAAAAAAAATAGATAAATTTGACTTCACAAAAATTAAGAACTTCATCTCCTCAAAAGGGACTGTTCAGGGAAGGAAAAGATAAGTCACAGACTGGGAGAAAATATTTGTAAATCACTTTTCTAGAATACATAAAGAGTTCTCAATAAGAAAAGAAACAACCTAATTTTAAACATGAGCAAAAGGTTCAAACAGACACTGCACCAAGGAAGACCAATGAATGGCAAGTAAGTGCATGAAAAGATGTTCAGCATCATCAGTCATGAGGAAAATGCAAATTAAAACCACAATGAGATACAATGCACACCCACTCGCATGGCTAACATTAAGAAGACCACGTACCCAATATGGGGGTACTACGCAACTAGAGTTCTCATACATTGCTAGTGGAAATGTAAAATTGTACAACCACTCCGGAAAACAGTTTCGCCAGTGTTTAAAAAGTTAACACCTATCATATGACCCAGGCATTCCACTCCTACGTATTTACCCAAGAGAAATAAAAGCATATGTTCACACATAGGTTCATAGCAGCTTTCTAGGTTAAGACCCGGGAACTGGAAAGAACTCCAATATCTATCAACAAGTGACTGAATAAACAAATTGTGGTATATACATACAATGCAATAATTCCCAGCAATAAAAAAACAATGAGCCATTGATACAAGCATCAAACGGGTGGATCTAAAATAATTCTTCTGAGTGAAAGAAGCCTGACAAAAAAGAATGCAACCGTGTATGATTCCATTTATAGAAAATTCTATAAAATACTAACTAATGCATTGTGAAAGAAAGGAGATCAGCAGTTAATTCAGGATGGGGATGGGGAGAAGCAGGAGGCAAAAATTGCAGAGTGGCATGAGGAACATTTTGGGGGTGGTGAATATGTTCATTATCTTGATTATTTTATGGTTTCACAGGGTATGTATACCTATGTCAAAATTTATCCAGGTGCACGCTTTAAATATGTACAGTTTATTTTACGTCATTTACACCTTGATAAAGCTGCTTCAGAAATTTTTAAATTTTATTTATTTTATTATTTAGAAAGAGAATGTGAGTGAGCAGGGGGAGGGGCCGAGGGGGAGAGAGAGAGAGAATCTGGAGCGGACCCCTGCTGAGCAGCAGCGGTAACACCTGGGAACTTGTTAGAAATGAAAATTCTCAGCCCACACGCCAGACCTAGTGAGTAAGAAATGCTAGGACGAGACCCTGCAGTGAGTACTTTAATATGCCTTCTAGGTGACTCAGACACATACTAACATTTGAGAACCACGGTATAGTCAGTACATAGGTGTATCTAGATTGAGTGTCTACAGGTGAGGGCAACTTATGGTCTCTTTTTTAGCACAGGAGCTGGTACTACATGTGTTCCTGATTTGATAGGAATGACCCAATAAAGAGGGAGGGGTGAGGCTGTCGGAGAGAACTGAGCGTGGGAATGTGGTCGTGAGGAGGTGAAAGGCAGTGGGATGCTTGATCTCTGATTTGAGCAGAGCTGCTTCTTCCACCGTGACAAAAGGGAAGACAGAGAATAAAGGTACGAGGTGGGGTAGGTGGTGGATTTGGTGGCGGGAGGGAAGTTCGGGGAGTAAAAGGTGAGGTCAACAGCTGAGAGAGAGGTTCTTGAAAGATGGAGGAAGGAAGAGAAGGGATGATATAGTCATCTCAGGGAGTGGGAAAGGAATTTTCCAAGGGAAGGTGGTAGGATTGCTTGTCAGTGCCACAGCCCCATTTGATACTTAGGGCAGCAAAGTCAGGTTAGATAAATAAGAAAAGCCATAGTACTGTTTTCAACACAGCTGCTTCAGTGCAGACAGGCATAGAGAATGCAGGTGATGGTGTTTACGGAGTGCTGACATTTAGCCCGAGAATTCAGATTCTTTGCAAGAGAGTAATGATAATAACGAACCATTAAATCCAAGTTTAACAAAGAAGGAACCGAGGATGAAGGCAGGGTGACAGAGTGTGGAAAAGTGGGAGTGTCTTGAGGCAAAGAGCTGATAGAATAGGACTATTTGGAGCACGGTGTTTGGAATATTAGGTGCATGTTTTGGAAGTGGTACTCAGAAAAATGCTGGAGATCAAGCTCAGAGACCATACAGCTACTGGGGATGACAAGCTCCCGAGTGAGGCCTGAGGTGGCAGAAAAGAGATTTTTGGACTGAGAAGCTGGAGCCTTTCGTCTGAATCAGGGTCTTGACGGCTTCTCCAGGTGGAAATGGCATTTGATGAGGAGTTTGGGGATGATTTGGGGGCCAAAATGGTGGTGAGAAACCTGTTGAGTGCCATCAAGTTTCACTTGAGACAGTTTTTATGTCACCAAATTTTTGTTCTTTTCCCCTTATTCTAGATCCCTTTCAATGCCTTACTTTCCCAAATCCTTTCTTTTTCTTCTACTCCAGTTAAAAAATTTGCTTTGTGGAGCGCCTGGCTGGCTCAGTTGGTGGAGCATTTGACTCTTGATCTCAGGGTTGTAAGTTTGAGCCCCTCGTTGGGTGTAGAGATTACTTAAAAAAATGAAATCTTAAAAAAAAAAATTGCTTTGCTCTCATTATAAAAGTAATACTAGTTCATTACAGAAAATAGGGACATATAAGAGATAAAAGGAAAAAAGATAAAAGGAAAGAAAAGTCACTTATCCAACTGTTGTTTACACCTTGGTATACATCCTTCCAAACTCTTTTCTATACACTGCCACCCTCCCCCATACACACACAGGATTTAAACAAAGGAATCACACCATCCATATTCTAATTTCAAAAGTAGGAAATCTGAAAAACACATCTGGAGATAGATGCTGTTAATAATTGTGTTATATTTCTTCTTAGATTTTTCTATGCATATTTTCTATAGTTAAGATTACATAATTGTCATAACTGTGTAAAAAAAAAATTTTTTTAATGATATTCTGTAATTTGTTTTCTTTTAAACCACTTCCCATACTTCTGTTTTTCCCTTTCCCCTGGTTGAAGCCTGCCAGAGGCATACTTGGCCTGTGTGCATAGCTCAGTGAAATCCGAGGATTAGAACGAACTTTAAAACTCACAGTTCCCTAAGGGATGGGAAAAAGAAACTGAGAAAATTTAATTTTATACTCCCTCTGCCTTCCTCTGCTTGGCATTAAAAAAAAAAAAAAAAAAAAAGTCCATGAATGCAGAGCTTTTATTTAACAGATGTCTAAAAAGTGAACTTGTCTTAATGTTTCTAGAGTTTCTCTTCAAGTACTGAAATCAACTTTGAATTATAGTGACTGATACTAGACAGATGGGCACTTAAAATTGTATCAGTAACCTCCGGGATCAGCAACCAGTCTCCTCTTTACCAAGCACTTTGTCTGTTTTTAATATTCAAATATTATTTCAGTATTTATATCATTTATTTTTATCATGAGTATTTTTTTTTTAAAGATTTTATTTATTTATTTGACAGAGAAAGA